CATATTAATTTAAATATTTTGAAGTCCAAGGTCGTTTTAAGGTTATGTCATAAACATACCTAAATGTATTTTTCATAAGCTAGGTGGTGGAATAGAACAGAATACACGTTTCCTGAATACACATAAAAAAATGTCATTGATCTTGAAAAAAATATTAAGAAATGATATTTTTTTAAAAAATAGTTCTTCCGATTCGTTTCTTCAATCAGTTCGAGTTTCGCCAGGTTGCTTACTTTCATACTATCACAAACAGAGAAGATATTCAGATGGCCTAGCGAAACACCCTGTATATAAATTTGTTTTATAATATCGAACTATCTAAATATTAACTTTGACCAAAACTCTTCTTTAGATCATTCCAATTTATGCTGATTCTCATGGGAAAGTGTCCCTTTGTTTCGAAACAAGTGAATAATATCGATCCCCGTTTCAAAGGAAAATTCAGTTCGTGCGTTCATTTGAAACTTTCATTCTGCGTAGCTCTTTGACGCCAGAATCACCGAAATAGTCAAAATGACCAATTTATAATTTCAGACAGACGTAAAAAGCAATGCATTTTTCGAAGATTTAATCGAAGATAAAAGATGTAATTTAAAGATAAATGATCTTTCGTAAAATGTAATTAAAAGTATGCGTCGCAATGCACACAAAGTGCATCGTATTATATATAATTCTTATATCTTTTCTTCTTTTCTTTTCTTTTCACTTTAATGTTTCTGATGGAGATTTTACGCTCCAGTCATCGACTATTATTACTAAAACTAAGAATTAAATTATTAATTACTAAATAAAGCTGATAATTAAATTATTAATTACTTAAAATTAATAATTCAGCTGTTAGTTTTGCTAATTAATATTTGCAATCTTCAGGTGATATTAATTACAAAAAAATTAATAAACTATTAAATCAGGTAATATTAATTACTAAAACTAAACCAACTAATAACTAAACTATTAATTATAGAAATATTAATTACTAATATTAATTGTTAAATTTAATTAACTGATTAATTAACTAAAATCAATTACCAAACTATTAGTTACAATTAATAATCGAAATCGTGACGTTCCAATTACGGACAGGTTACATCTACGCAGCTCGCAAAATGGACGAACGAGGGCGTCTGACGATCGACGCTGCACCTCCAGAAGATCAGACGACAAATCCAATCCTCGAAGACCTGTATCGATACTTTTACAAGAGCCAGCTTAACGAACGAAATAACAACAGCGAGTCGCGATCGATAGTACCAATGGATCGGCCTCGTCGAAATGTCGGCGAGAGTCCTTGCAAGCAGAACATGGAACACTGCAAAATGCTGATCAACTCGATGTGGAGTATCGCGAGCATCGTGAACAACAGCATGCCGCATCTGCAGCGCTTCCTGAAGAACTTCTCCAGAGTGGAAACGGCGCAGAACGCGACGAAATCGAAATTCGTCGAGTTGATCGAGTGCCTGCAGTGCAAGGACGACTCGATCAGATTCGTCGACGACTCCGGTCCAGAGAATCATCCGCGAACGATGCAGGAACACCACACTGACAACAATGAGATTCGAAACCAGGTTGATATAGTCAGTGATTTGTTGAACGACGAGAGAGGAGGAGAGCAGGAGAATTTGAAGGCTAATTTGGAAATAGAATCGACAGATACGAAGACGACCGTGACTGGAGAGAATGTTGAAACATCTACGTCTGAGAGTGGTTCGAAGGCGGATTTCACTCTAGAAAACACTTTGAGAACGTGAGTATTGAACGTGAGGAAAGAGGTTTGGGTTCAAATTGTAAAATAACTACGTTTCAGAACTGACACAACGAGTTGAAATTGAATTTGAAACTTGCAATGGGTCGTTACTTCGATTTTTCGACATGCAAGGATGGTTACTTTTTTTTTTTTTTTTTTCTTTTTACCGATTTAGAATCGTAGAGTTGTTGAGAATTCAAATAAATTCGAAATAGAATTCGATACTTGCAATGGTTACTTCGATTTTTCGACATGCAAGGATGGTTACTTAGAGTCTTTTTATCAATTTATAGAGTTGTAGACTTGTACGGTTGTAGATCTACAGAGTTATAGAGTTGTAGAGTTATAGAGCTGTATAGAGTTTTATAGCTGCAGAGTTTTGGAATTGGAGAGTTCTAGAGTTCTAAAATTGCACAACTGTAGAATTGTAGAAGGTTAAAATTTTAGAATTTTAGAAGTTTAGGGCTTTAGAATTTCAGTAGCTTAGACTTCGAGAATTCTAGAATTGCAGAATTGTAGAAGCACAGAACTGTAATCTTAGTATTTTATGATTTCAGAACTTTAGAATTTTAGGATCCTAGAACTCTAGGATTTTTATGACATTTGAATTCTGGAATTCTAGAATTGTAGAATTTTAGAATTCTAGGACTCCAGAATTTTAGACTTCTAGAATTTTAGGACTTTGGGATTTTAGAATTCTAGAATACTAGAATTTTTAATTTTTAATTTTTAGAATTTTAAATAATTTTTAATAATTTTTAATTTTTTAATTTTTAAAATTTTTAAATAATTTCAAATAATTTTAAATAATCTTTAATTTTTTAATTTTTAGAATTAAAATTTTAAATTTTTAGAATTTTAGAAGCTCAGATTTTGAGAGTTTTAGAATTGTAAAATTGTAGAATCTTAGTATTTTGTGATTTCAGAACTGTAGAATTTTTAGGACATTAGGATTTTAGAATTCTGGGATTCTAGAATTGTAGAATTTTAGAATGTCTAATTTCAGAATTCTACAAATTCTAGAATTCTAGGACTTCAGGATTTCAGAATTCTAGAATTCTAGATTTTTAGGACGTTGAGATTTTAGAATTCTAGAATTTTAAATTTTTAGAATTTTTAGAAGCTTAGATTTCGAGAATTTTAGAATTGCAGAATTGTAGAATCACAGAACTGTAATCTTAGTATTTTATGATTTCAGAATTCTAGAATTCTAGGATCCTAGAACTGTAGAATTTTTAGGGCATTAGGATTTTAGAATGCTGAAATTCTAGAATTGTAGAATTTTAGGATTTCGGGATTTTAGAATTCTAGAATTCTAGAATTTTAGAATTTTAGGACTTTGGAATTTTAGAATTCTAGAATTCTAGATTTTTAGGACGTTGAGATTTTAGAATTCTAGAATTTTAAATATTTAGAATTTTTAGAAGCTTAGATTTCGAGAATTTTAGAATTGCAGAATTGTAGAATCACAGAACTGTAATCTTAGTATTTTATGATTTCAGAATTCTAGAATTCTAGGATCCTAGAACTGTAGAATTTTTAGGGCATTAGGATTTTAGAATGCTGAAATTCTAGAATTGTAGAATTTTAGGATTTCGGGATTTTAGAATTCTAGAATTCTAGAATTTTAGAATTTTAGGACTTTGGAATTTTAGAATTCTAGAATTTTAAATTTTTAGAACTTTAGAAGCTTGGATTTCGAGAATTGTAGAATTGTAGAATTGTAGAATCTTAGTGTTTTATGATTTCATAACTCTAGAATTTTAAAATTTTAGTATCTTGGAATTCTAGAATTTTAGAATTTTATGACTGTAGAATGTTAGAATTCTAGAATTTTAGACTTTCAGAAGTTTAGATTTCCAGGAATCTTGGAATTCTAGGACTCTAGGATTTCAAAATTTTAAAATTCTAGAATTCCAGATTTTTAGAATTCCAGAATTCAAAAACACTTTTATAACCTTAGAATTTCCATTGATACACGATGCTCATTACGATACGACGCGTACTCGTTACATTAGCAAATAGAAATTTTATCAACTATAGTTCGTCCCCGAGTGAAGCGATGGAACACAGCGACAAGAACATGGTCGCGGAAGCGGCGGAGATTAACGCGAGGACGAGTATACCAACTACATCGAAGGTGGAAGATACGACGACTAGAATGAACGAGCAAACGATCGGAACCGACGATACTAACCGGTCCGTGGTCACCGTGGACGTGACAGCCAAACCAGACGATGACAACGTGACGAAAATTACGATCGACCCGGTGCATCATTCGGTGCATACTTCGAGTCAAGGTCAGCAGTCGTTGATGAACGAGCGAAAGGAAACGCAAGGTGAAACCTCAAACATAACAAATAGATGCGTTATTGTCACTTCCGACTGACATACCGATTTCAAAATACAGTAATTAAGTATATTCCATGTAGCCCACTTAAGCGTCCGCAACTATCCCCACCAATTCCTGAAATCGGGACTATTCTCCCACTCTGTTTGATTACCTTGCCATGCGACCGCGTGGAACATGACATTTGCATACACAAAACAAGCGATATATGCAGGGTAATTCACTTGCACACCTGAAATAACTTTTAGATTATAATGTGCAAGTTACATGAATCACCCTGTATGTATGATATTAGTGGTATCGGTGAGATAACTGATGCTCCCATCTCTTTCTTTCGGTGCCAATTCGCAGAATACACCGGCCCATTTAATCGTCCGTTACTGGTCCCGATTGTGGACGTTTAACTGGGGACCATTGTACTTTAAATTAGCACGAAAACACTTTGAACTTCAGCAGCGAGAGATGTTGAACCCAGAGAGCCGACGTTCCGGGAAGTGCAAAGGAGGATCGTCAACACAGGGAAAGAAGACGCGAATATGTCACCAACGGCGGAGACGATGAAGTTCAGCCAACAGTTGCAACTGACGCCGACGATGTCCTGGGTGCCGTACCAGGTCTGTTTCTACGGAACGGACGCGCACAATCCGACGAAACAGTCGATCACGTATCCAGCGTCGTCCCCGGGAATTTCGTATCCGCAGCTGCGTCAAGGCTTCCAGAACTTCAATCAACCGCCGAGTTACCTACAGGTTCAAGCGACTGCCCAACTATTGCCGATGCAACCCGGCCTTGGGAACTTTGGGCCGTCGGTTGGCCAGAGAATCAGTCCGACTGGTCCCGCGATTGCCAATTACCCGACTTTCCCCAGTTCAGCAGTCCAGGCGATGCCCCACAGCGCCGCCGCGAATTCTAACGGCAAAACGCCGTACTACTGCACCTACATTCCCGCTCCGACGTTCCAGTTCCCGCCGATTCCTGGAGTACCGGAGTACCAGAGAGCTTCCGTCCCGTACGAGGTGGAAGAAACGGAGGACAACTCGGTGCAGCATGAAAGGGACGAGAAGAATTTCCTGTTTGGTAAGAACGTGTAATAGAATTATATCTGTACAGGGTGGTCCTAAATATCTTTTCGAATTTCGATGATGCAAATAATATCTTTCGTACGAATAAATTAAATTGTTAAATATTAGATATCAAGTATTGAATAGCTGGAATAGTCTTTTCCCCGAGGTCATTAATGCTCTTTTTTCCCTTCATGCACCGTGCAGCTAGTAAAGAAATAAAAAAATAAGTTCAGATAAGTAAAAAGTATGACGTAAGACTTGAATTTTCATATCTGAACATATTTTTTTACCAACTGCACGACGCAATGATAAAAAAAAAAGATACATAGTTGTATTTAAAAATAAAAAAAATACACCAATGATCTTGAAATCTCCTTGAAAAGAATGACCTTGGAGAAAAAGATACTCTTGCCAGTTCTCTCAATACCATTCGTGTTAGGTAAAGAATATTTTTTTGCGTCATCACAAATTGAAAAGATATTCAGATGGCCTCGCTTAAATGGCCCACCCTGTATATATTTGGAATTTTATTTCAATTACGAATCGAGCGTTCGCGAGATATAATAAATGGTTTGTGCGTAGCGCAAGCTGGTACATGTCCGTCGAATACGATTCAATGTGGCGACAACGGACGATGTATAGCGAGATCGCAATGGTGCGACGGTATGGTAGATTGCAACGACGCCAGCGACGAGACGAGCTGCTCCTGCAGGGACCGGATTTCGCAGGAACGACTCTGCGACGGGTATTTCGACTGCCCGCACGGCGAAGACGAACTGGGATGTTTGGGTAAAGATATATCGATTTTCTTCTTTTTTCGTGACTCTAGAATTTTTGAATCGAAGAAGCTTCACAAGCTTGAGAATTTTGAAACTCTGATATTTGAAGTTCGAATATTCTCCGTTGCACGCGACACGCATGCGCGTATCGTTGGTGCATAACAGAACTCTGCTTTGTCGATCGAACATAACAGAACTCTGCTTTGTCGATCGAACATAACAGAACTCTGCTTTGTTAACATGCAAATGTTTGTTGATTACTTGACACACAAATAGAGTGCAGGTGTCAATGCAATACAAATAGCAAATGAAGAATTGAAGAGTTGAAGTTCTCATACGAAATCGTTTGTTAATTTATATTTCATTGGAATAATTCACGCGAGATGGCAGCAGTTGTTGCGATTTTACTTTCGAAAGCCGAAACTGTTTTATCCGCAGAGCACGGAAACTGTATTTCACCTTCTGTCGTAATTTCCTCAGCGCGCGTTTTCGCTCTTCAGGTTGTCCAAAGAATACGTTCAGCTGCAACGATTGGCAACAGCAATACACGACTGGCAATTGCGTGCTGTTTTCCCAACGATGCGACGGAATACGTCAGTGCGCCAATGGAAAGGACGAAACGGACTGCAACGTTCTCACCCCCTCGTACAACGAAGGGAAAAAAGTAACAATCTCTCTAAACAACGCACAGATTTCTCACGAGTAACATACGATTTACACGATCGTTTGCTATATCGTATAGCATACGCTTTATCGTATGTTTTATGCGTGTCCTTCAGGTATTCACGATCGGCTACACCGAAGGATATCTTCACAAGAACTACAAAGGACAATGGTACCCGGTGTGCACAGCGATCGATGCCTGGGTGAAGGATGCTTGCGCCTCCGAAATCGGTTTGGAAACCAGGTATTTCATCAACCTGAAGGAATTCTAGAATTCTGCGTCACTGAAGTTCAAGGGATTTGATAGGACCGTAGGATCTTTTTCTTTTTACGTGGAGAAAATCTTCGATAGTCTTTTAAGGGAAGACCTAGGTAGTGTCGGATTTTTACCGACTAAACCTCCACGATGGGGGACCTTTTTATACACACAGAGCTCTCCTCGTGCTCTTGTCCTAAAGGACAATATCTTTTTTTCCGCCCGAATAGGGGTTCGAACCTTGGGCCCTCAGACTAAGAGTCTGATTCTCTACCGACTGAGCTATCTCCACTATCGTAGGATCATAGAATTATTCATCCTACCGAAGAAATCTGAGTCTCAAATAAGCACACCTTTCTACTACAATTCTAACACTTATTTTCCAATAATTTCGAACAATTTAATTGCCCCTTCGCAGCGAGTCCGCTGAAATAACGATCCGCTCGATGCCACGGAACGTGTACCAGGGTCCCTATCTGACCCAAGTGAACAACCAGTTGAAGTTGATTCCCTCGTGCATGAACAAAGCGGTGTTCGTGCGCTGTGCACGGTTCCCTTGCGGAACTACCGTTTTCTCTCGCGAGGACATCATACGACCTAACGCGCTGCAGAAGGAAGACCGTCAGCCTTTGCAGGTGGCCGATCAAATCGTCTGGCCATTGTACAGCAACAAGATCGATTCAAAACGCGGTGAAAACGAGAAGAGGGTGGCCAAGGATCAGGACGAGCTGGTTGGTTCGCAGTTGCGCGTCGTCGGCGGTCGCGCCAGCCATCCGAAAGCGTGGCCATTTCTCGTGGCCGTTTACAAGGACGGCGTGTTTTACTGCGGCGGTGTTATCCTGAGTGAACTTTGGGTGCTCACGGCTGCTCACTGTCTCGACGGGTGGGTAGTGTGGCTCGATCAAAAATTGAGCCACAATGTGTCTCACGTATGAAGCTGAATTATTCGCCATGGGAAAAGATGGTTCAAATAAAACTTATTTACGAAAAACTGGTTGTTTCGAGGGGAACATCTTATGACCTGGCCACGAATCTTTTTTTTTTTTAGGTAAATCGGTTCCAATTTTTCTTTTGAATGGAACTAAGTGAAGGAACTTCAAAGCTTATTATTTTGAGCATTCAGAGATCCATGATGCTCGAAGTGGACTTTTTCTTAGCTCAAACAACCAATTGCAAGATATTTTTCTTGGCGGGTTTCCCACAAAAATTAGATTTATACGAAAAATCGTTTGTCGATAAATTATTTTCGAAAAACATTGGAAACGGAGCAATTGTGCAGAGTTTTGTCGTTTGGGGGTATAAACCAGTGTACTGACACCACAGATAAAGAACGATCTCTGGATGCTCAACAAAGGTAAGCATCGAGCGATGACTTTGACAACATCAACTAATCATTTAATTACAAGTCGCAGAATTCGTCCTGACATGTCAACTAAAGACTATACCATCTAGAAAAGCAAGAGTCCCCTTGAAATCTCGAAACCTCATCATATAGTGACAAGATTCGTAGCCCCCATAAAATTTTCCCTCTACGCAAATAATAATCTTCTTTGTAGCGAA